ACATTTTTTTTCCTTCAACAATAAATTCACATGGTTACATTTTGCCAGCACACACGTGGTTGGATTCAAGAGAAAAGAACAGTGTTTGGCTTTACAATCTAGAGCATTTGCTGAAACTGCTGGTGTTATTCTTGTTGGGTCTTGCATCTTAGTTTAGTGTGTTCATTTCACCTGACACGTCATTGTTACACAGAAGCATCTGAGAAGCCATCATTGGAAACTTTTTGGAAAAGGTCAGGCACTTTTAAATAATACTTAGTAGATGATCCGATGACCGTGTTGGGTGAAACACTTTAGAGCACAGTCATACATGCATGAAATTAACGACACATGGCGAATATTTGCCTCCTGTCACTACCATTCACTGCGAAAGGGCGAATAAAGCATTTGCTTCTGGTTGCACAGCAAATTCACAAATTCTCATCTTCATGTTGCACGGAGAACAACTTTGGTGAGCTTTGATCACAAATTCACAGCCTCAACCAGCAGCAAAGAAGTACGTGTTGTAGAGACACTGATTGTTGCTGTGTTTAAGGAGTTGATATTGTATGATATTGGCCATGAAAAATACAAACTGCCCCACATGAGAGATGCTGACTGGCTGGCAGCTAGTCAGGAGACATGCATGAAATGTAAGAAAAGTCACATTTGGCAATCCAGTCTCACTACAAAGTCTTTCACATTGGCATGGTATGTGGCAGGTTGCCTTATTGTTTAATGACGCCCAGTGGCATCAAGGGGAAACGTGGCGGGACGACAATGAAAGTTAAGGCAGCAGAAATCCCACTAGGTCGGCAGGAGGGCTGGCGGATGGATCCAACAGCCATGACCTTCCCCTGGAGGCCAGTGTTCGCTTCCTGTAAGATTGTAAAGCCAAACCCTGTTCTTTTCTCTTGAATCCAACCACGTGTGTGCTGGCAAAATGTAACCATGTGCATTTATTGTTGAAGGAAAAAAAATGTCAATTTGTGTTGTACCAACGTAGTACCTGTATTTTGAAAGAGACTGTATGCAAACAGGACATGTCCTGTGAAAACTGAAGTGTATTTTGAAAACAGACAATGCATGTAACAGGCAGTACTTGGCATGGCATCCCTGAACGTCAACAAACAATGCACCCAGGGTACCTTGCATGTCATAGCCCAGGGGTAGGCAACCTGTGGCTCCGGAGCCACATGTGGCTCTTTAGCCCCTGTCCAGTGGCCTTTGAGCCTTTGAGAAAAGAATTCTATGGAAATTCATTCTATGAATCCAAATGTTGCTGAACCTCGATAGCAGTGGCTGGTTAGCTATGGATCCCAAATCCAAAAAAGTAAATTGAATAAAATAGAGAATGTAGTATTACATGGACAGATTTGTTTGCTCTCACTGCCAGCTCTGCAAAATTTAAGTACCAAATAATCATAAATAGTGCCCTGCACAGTGTCCACCTTGTGGTAAAACATATTAACAAATGCTTATTTAGACCATAAGTATACGCTAATCTAGACTTAATAGGCTATTTACCTTGATTATAAGGCTCAAACATGTTTTGCGGCTCCACACAGATTTTTTCAAATTATTCTTGGTAAAAAATGGCTCTTTTAATGGCAAAGGTTGCAGACCCCTGTCATAGCCAGATGTGGAAAATCCATGACCAAACATTGATATGTGATGAGGTCGGGGTAAGAATATGTTGCATTTTGCGGTATTTAGCAAACTAGCTAATAATAGCTAGCAAGCTAACTTCCTATGTGCATCACAGTTCCCACATTTAGCACGAATGTCTCCTTGACAGGTGACGGTCACTCGCTCATGTGTGATCTTGTCCTTACGAATTAAGATGTTACTGTAATCACATTACAGTTATTAATCAAACAATTATGTCATTACTTGTGTTAAGTAAGTTCTTCAAATATCTGAAAAAATAAATGAAAATAAATGAATAAAACTTGCTGCGTCCATTGTGTCCATGGAGAGCCTCTTCAGCCTGGGCGGTCTTGTGCTGACTCTGAGACAGAACAGGCTGTCTGACAAATGACTTGAGAGACTCTTCCTCACAAGGTTTAACTGCTGCTACATGTCTAAATAAGCTGAACTAGCCTGCTATAAAGACACGGTGTGGTGAACAAGCGACTGGAGTGACTTCATTTGGCACATTAAATGCACTTCATATGCTATTTAAACATGTTTCATTTCCTTAAGTTGGTCATCATCTTATGGTGTTAGGAAGACCAGTGTCTGATTATATTTTATTAAGGCCCATTAATATAATATTTTGAGGTAATTAATATTTGTACTATGTGGTGTTGAAAGAGCCAGCCTTATTTATATTGTTTTATATACTACTGTAGTTTCATTTTGAGGCAGTTATTTACTGCTAGTACCGTCTTGATGCTCCTGAGCCTTGTTTTGTGATGATAAGTGGGCATATGGAAGGTTTGTTGTTTATATGACAATGCATCTCAGATGAAGTTGCAAAGTAATGCAAAATAAGTAAAATAATGGCTTTTTTTAAAATAGCAAGTAATGCGTGATAGATTACTTTTGTAGAGTAACTGTTGGTTGAACTATTGTTTTGAACGAAAAGTAGCTTCTTCGTGATGTCACACAAACCTAGACCGAACCCATATCCATCAGCAGCTCTTGGTTCAGACACCCATGCTTTACTTGAAGCCTGATAATTTGTAAAATACCAGATTCTATCCTCAGTACAATGCAACATTCGTCAGTCAGTCTGTCTCTGTCTGTGTGTCTCTAACCACCAGCTGTGCTCTGTCCATTAACCTGCTAACCAGCTTCCATATGGCTCCTGTTAAACAATGCACACACACACACACACACACGGTGGCACGTGTGAACAGAGATAGAAAGATTTATGTGTTTTATTTTCAGTCATCATCTGTGTCATGTGAAACTTTGTATCCTCAATTGGACCCCTGAGTTTTTGTATGGTTTTGGATTTTGTAGTTGTGAGGAGTGGATTCTGTTTTTTGTTTTTTTTCCTAATGCAGAAACTCACCTCTCAGCAGGTGGAGGTGTACTGAGGTGCATCAAACATATACTGTGGTTCCTCTGCAAAGAGGACACAAAAAATTCATGGTCATTTTACCAGTACAGCTCTGGTTCCAGCTCTGGTCCCAGTCTGTCTGGTTCCAGCTCCTCTCTGGTCCTCGTCCATCAGACCCACATGAGCCTCATTAGCAGCAGCTGATCAGAGCGGCAGCAGGGAAACACGTGAGGTGTGCAGGCGGTCATGAGACTCGACGTTAAGTTACAATTAAAACCGAACCGACCGACGAGCGGCTGCTCGTTAAACCACCACATCTCTGCTCTGATTGGCTGAACCCAAATTCTGGACCGGGCCAGCTGACAAATCTAACTTAACTGAAGTAAATGTGCTTCACGTTGATTCATATTAACCCTCGTTTGAAGCTGCGGGTTCATTCTGGTTTAAACTATGAGTCAGCTTTGATTTGTTAACTTCCTGACATAAGAGGCAGCTGTAGATACTTGACCCCTTTTAGTGGTGGAATGTAATATGGTACATTTACTATACTTCAGTTCTAATTAAAGTATACTGAAGTGTTTCTATTTTATATAACCTCATACTTCTATTCCTCTACAATTCAGGGCTAAATTATGTACTCTACTACATTTGCCTCGTGTTCACCAAAGCATTTTTTCCCAGCTAAAAACGCGAGGTGCTTAAGAGCACTTTGGTGGCGTAGCATTTTTTCACCTGAGATGCTTTGGTTGTGTCTGATTACTATGATACAGACTATCCACAGAGGTAAAGGTGTTGGCGCAAGGTAGAGTACTTGCTCTGGATGAAGGTTGCGGCACACAGATTGAGAGGACAGAGTGCTGATTGTTGTTCATCAGCGCTCATACATTTGAGATATGACCGTTGGTCTTTGTGGTATTCATCCCTCCTCCATCTTTTTGGGTAACTGGGTAAAAAGTGACATTGAGAATTTACTTAAAGTTGAGCATTTTTCAACTCTCATTGCTCAGAAAAAAATGCCAAACAAGCAGTGCTCAGTGCAGAATGGCCACTCAGCTGACATTTGTAGTATAGCGTAAATGCACTGTGCTGCCATTGCAAAGAATTCAAAAAATGCAGTGGTCTCAGGAAAAAATGCTTCGGTAGACATGGCCCCTAAAGGTCTAGTGTGTAGGTTAGATTTATTTACAAAATAAACCAAATATAATACCTCATAAAATGACTAATTGTTGTTTCACTTCAGTTTTTATCAAACAAATGAATGTTAGTCACTGTTGACAGAGTCAGGCTGCTGTATCTCCCTGCTTCCAGTCTTTGTGCTAAGATAAGCTAAGCTAAGCTAAGCTAAGGGTCTGCTGGCTGTCGCTGTGTAATAAGGTATAACCCCAGTGTGATATTAACTGTTGGTAGAAGTGATCATAGGTGTAGATTTTGGGGGTTATGTAGGGGATACATCACGCCAAATATTTAGAGCATGTGCAATTAAATTAAGGGTATTAGCACCATAAATGAATGCAGAAATAGGTGGGAAGAATGCAGGAAATTAAGTGTGTGATGATGACTCTGGAAGACGACCCCCAAACCCTCCATTAAATGTGTGTGACCCTCAGTGTTGAAATGAAACCTACACCCTTGCCACACTTTGGGTTTAAAATTGTGTGTGTGTGTGTGTGTGTGTGTGTGTGTGTGTGTGTGTGTGTGTGTGCGTATTGTGCCTCAGGATCAGAGTCAGTAACTGAACTAAAGTAAAATCACGTTACTGTCAGTGGAGACGTGACGCAAAACCAGACTCCACTTAGATAACACAAAAAAAAAAATCCCAGGATCCTGCTCAGAAAGGAGTCACACACACACACACACATACCTACCTACACACACACACACACACACTTCTACAACACTGTGGCTCCATTGGCTGCTGCTGATGAATGGATGAGTTGTTGACCAATCAGGAGCATGTGACCGGTGAATATGTAGACCGATCAGCATCAGCTGGCTGCACTCTGACTGTTCCTCCATCACACACACATATACACACAAACACACACTCAGTTAGTGACAGAGGCTGCTTATAGTAACACACACCAGTCTGCTTTAGATTCATCATCATCATCGTCTGTCGTCCGTCCATCATGCACAGCAAAGAACAAATCAGGTAACAAATAACTGTTTTCTTCTTCTTCTTAATATACTAGACCTGATTTTACTGAAGTGTTTGGCTTGTGACCCCTCATCATTTTATGTTTCTACTGTGACCAGTTCAACTTTTTAATTTTATTTTATTGTATTTATTATTTTTTGATTTGGATAACTTTTAGAAGACTGAAAAAGTGACAAGGTACATGTAATTCACAAGAAAAAAATCTAAAAACATTAGAGGAAAGTCTAATATAATCATAGTATATATTTTTCTTTCTGAATCAGAAAAACAAGCCTATGGGGTAACAACTGGGCATTTTAGAGGAAGGTTGAACTAAATTATAAATTCTGGATACCTACACAGTACAGTATTGAGGATAGTTACAATATTCCACCAAAAAGAAAAAGGGGCTTCAGTAAAGTCCCAGTATTCACAGAAATATTTAAATGACTTCCTTTGTTCTTAAAATGCCATACTGTTTCTCCCTTGTTCCCCTTAGTCTTGTTTTCTGCCTCTGCACCTACATTTACACACCAGTGGGAACCAGGAGGTATTTTATAAGTACTGAATCCATACAAAAAAAAATACACTGTAGAACACCCTCTGTACCATAAAGTATAGAGTTTCTATAGTTTATTTAAATTATATAGTCATTGTTACTTAACATAGAAACACAGTAGTCTGTAGGTTTATGTTCTGACCCCCAGTTTCCGTTATTTAAACTTTGTTTTTGAGAAACTTGTTCACATCATTTTGACATGACATGTTTCTAAATACTGCAATACCCATGAGCCTTGGGTGTCATTGCCATGGAAACAAGCTCATCAAAAGCTGAAGCAAATCAGAACACTTCATCCTTGCAGTTGTTGACAAAACAAGGTGCTATAGTATCAAAACTGACCCCTCAAATTAAAAGTAAACTGATTTAAGCAACATAGCTCCTGCTCTTTGAGACTCTGAGCTGTTGCCAAGCAACCAGTGGAGACTCCAGGAAGTTACTGGTCCCAGCTGAGAAATAGTCAGGCATATAATCCTCTCTAATCTGGCAGATTGATTTATTAACACTTCATACTTTGTATTTATTGAGAGAGTGTTAATGGACAAACTTTAGGTGTGGTGGTTGGTGTATGTTGTTGCCTTTGGACAGAGCCAGGCGAGTTGTATCCAGCCTTTGTACTAAAATAAGATAAGCTAACGGGCTGCTGGCTGAAGCTTCATATTTAACAGACAGATATGAGGGTTGTATCAATCATCTAATTAGAAAGTCAACAATTTCAAAATGAAAGGTAAAATAATAATATCAGTGTCTTTGTGATTGTGAGGTTCCATATTATCTTATTCTGTCCTATTTTACTGACAACATTTTGTGACATGACAGCATCAAGGAGTCCAACAACACAGTAAACAAACTCACACTTTAACCACAGTATCTAAATCTATCTAAATCAAACTAAATGTAAAGGTTGTTGTAAAGTTCCAGTTTACATACTGCACAGCTACACATCCTGATTTAGCTTTGACAGGTAGGTGTGATGAACAGCTGTCTCCAGAAGTTTTTTTTTTTATGGCTCTAAATTTCCATTTAAAATGTTTTTTTCAATGACCTCATTAATGTTTGCCAAAACGCAGAAACTCAGGAGTCGTCTGGATGATGTAACCCATGAAACAGTGGTTGTTTATTTTCAATTGTACGCTATTTTACTGCCCCGAATTTAAGGTGAGTCAAAATGATTTACTTAATTTAGCGAGGGGTTTTATCCATATATAGCAAGGCAGGGACAGGGACACTGGATAGAGCTTTGAAAATGTAATTTTTTATTTCACTGTTTCTTTAACATTAATGTGTTTGCTGATTAGTTGCATTCCAGTGGCAGAGGCATTAAGTCCTCCCAACTCTGATACTAACGTTATAGTAAAACAGTTGTATTTACAGTATCTACGAACTTCACAGTAGTTGTGAATTCACTCTAAATAATAAACTACCACTAAAATAATTAAAATGAATTCCTTCCTCTCTGCAGTCATGACGAATATCAGAAGACAGCTGATTGGCTGATGTCTCATACGAAGCACCGCCCCCAGGTGGCGATCATCTGCGGGTCTGGACTGGGCATGCTCGCTGACACCCTCAAGTGTCAGGACTCCTTCGCTTATTCAGATATACCGGGCTTCCCACAGAGCACAGGTATTAATAATAATAATAATAATGATGTGACTTTATCATTGACTGACAACCTGACTGTATGGAGCTGTTCACTACATATTTATTCACATATATTTTACACTTAGATTAAGTGTTAAACACAAATATACATTAACATCTGTCTGTAAGTTAAGTGTCATATTTTAAAGTTTCATTTATTCATTAGTTTATTGTCAGTGTTTTCACATATAAGCTATGAGGCTTTTAACACTTGCTGCACAGCTGTGACTGTGACTTCAGTCTCTAACTCTGGGCACACTGCTAATCGCAGCACTGCTTAAAGACAGCCAACCCAAATTTTTTACGTGGAGAAATCCATCCAATCAATAAAAGCCAAACTGAACATCAAACAGCAGCTAATCTGGAAGAAAATTGATCATTTCTGATTATAAAATCAATCAAGGGCGACCAATATGAGTTTGAAATCTGGCTAAATCCTCACAATGTCTGCTCAGCGTTACAGGTCAGCGTGGCTGAATAATAACTCTCAAGAGGTGTTTAGCCTCGAAAACTGCTGGCATAGCCACACCGAAATGTAGATTTACTTTTCTTTTTGGGTTAATCAGCGTGATTATGGTTTGTGTTGCAGTGCAGGGTCATGCAGGTCGGCTGGTGTTCGGGGAGCTGAAGGGGAAGACTTGTGTGTGCATGCAGGGTCGCTTCCACATGTATGAAGGACACTCACTCTGCAAGGTACACACGCACACACACACTCTTAGATCACGTCTAACCTTTACCCTAATATTAAAGGGGCAATAAGCGAAATCGTTCACCGCTAGGTTTGCTGTTGTGCACTGCCTGTAGAGCAAAACAAAGTGTGGCATGAGCCACTCCTCCCTCTGCCTCTGCTCTCCAACAATGTCTCCTAGCAATGTCTTTCACTCACTCTTGGTCTCTGCTGTGTTTAGCTATTTCCCTGCTTTCCTGTTAGCATTAGCACTTACTCGGCTGCCACGCTAACGCTCCAACTGAGCCAGGAGCCGGGCTCACGCTTCTCCGCCAGGCTCAGTGAGTCAGAGCCAAGAAGCGTGGGGTCGTTAGCGTTAGTCGGCTGCTATGCTAACGTTCCAGGAGCCTGCTTCTCGGCTCCGGCGAGCTCTGGTGTGGGGACGTTAGCCTGCACTAGTCGGCTGCTATGCTAACGTTCCAACTCTTCACCCGGAGAAGAGAGGAATGTTAGCTTTAGCTCCCACAGTTAGCACTAGAGCTACTACAGCTACTGGAGTAACTTGCAGCTATGGAGCGCTTCTACCAGCTCTTCTAGTCACTGAGCCTCGCCTCCATTTCAGCAAATATATTGCATTTATTACAGGTACCATCATCATTGAAGTAGGCAGGGGAATAGCTAAACACAGCCGCCAGACTGCCCGCCGGGCTACATTTTACAATGCTAATTGCAAATTAGCTGGGCTGCCGGGCTACACACCTAACACAACCGAAGCGCCTGACCCATTGCTGGGACCGAAGCTCCGGACATTAACCCATGCTACGATTGTAACATTAAATTTAATTGAATCGACATAGCGACATGTGCCTAACGTTACTGTAATACTAATTAAAACAGACATTTGACTTTATGTTGTACCTGTCCAGGAGAAGAAGAGCGAGATTGTTCAGACAGAGTCAGATTGTTCACAGATTGACTCACACATGAACGTACATGAACGCGCAGCCGGACCGGCTTGTAAACAATGGGCTGGAGATCAACACAGAGAGAGGGTGTGTGAGGTCACGCTATACTCCAGATGAAATTACACCTCTAGTTCTTCACATAGCAATTTTTTAATTCCTTCAATCTAGAAATGATGAATTTCACTTATTGCCCCTTTAATTAATATTGTTTGTGTTGGTTTCATTTCAACACTGAGGGGCACACATAAAATGGAGTGTTTGGGGTCGTCCTCCAACCTGTTCTCATTCATAGGTCACCCAATACAGATGCTTTGTCACATCCCCTCAGCTTTTCATACTGACGCATGTGGCATCCTTTAGTGTCTGAACACACAGCTGTCTCCTGGATAAAACATGTTACAACACGTGGTTAACACTGTCAGATTGTCACGGTTAGGTTTAGGTAACAAAACTACTTGGTTTGGCTTAACACAAGTACGTAATGTGATGTAAGTTACATCATACTATGTCAAAAAAATGTTGCTTTTTGTTTCACACTGGAGGTGCCTATGTAAGTTACGTAACATTACATTAAAACAACGTTGACTGCAGTCTCCTGGCTGAAAGTCTGTGATTGTTTGACTCATCCATCGCCCATCCTGCCCAACCTATGCAGAGTGTCTTGGCCTTTATACCACATCAGTTGCTCAGTCAAATATTGCCAAGGATGGGTTTAAATTGGAGTCAGCTGAAATCCAACGCATCTCATGAAGATGCTGAAGTGTGCCTTCGGCATCAGTATGACAAAGTGTTGGTATATGAAAACTTGGGAATGGGAACAGGCTGCAAATTCCATCCATCAGCATCTCTAAAGCTCAGTGATTAACACCCTGCCGTCACACTTTATGCAGGTTATGTGCCAAACTATTCTTTGTCAGGCAACCAGCAAAGACTGACGTGACTGGAACTGGACAAGAAAGTTTTCACACTCTGTTTTTTTGTGCAGTTTAAACAGCGGCTGTTTCTCCCTGCTCCCAGTCTTTATGCTAAGCTAAGCTAAGCTAAGCTAAGCTAAGCTAAGGGTCTGCTGGCTATAGCTTCATACTGAGATGTTTTGGAGGCAGTGAGGGTCTAATGAAAGAATGAGTGGCATCATAGGATGCAGTATTTGTGGAGGGTGACATTCTGTGGACCAAAAGTCAGATTATCTCTACCTCTTCTTCTGCAGTTTGGATGATCCTTTTTCTTCGCACACAAGCACATCAGTGTTCAGTGTTTCCCCAAAAGTTGGGGTCATTTGGGCTCTGGGATCAGATGTTAAAGTTATAAAACAGTATCACATTTTCCCAGATAGTAAGACTGCACATGACCGCAACATTTCAGTGTCATCACTCAGTTTACACTACGTTACACAAAATAAATACAAGAAGAGAAATAAACACAAATACATTCCACACATGGGAAACACACACACACACACAGATGTGAGCTGACTAGAGCACCTCCGTCACGCAACCCTTTAGTATAAGACACAAAATACTTTTTGTAATCAGCAGCACGAGACTGAACCTGTAACATGACCTCTGTGTGTGTGTGTGTGTGTGTGTGGGTGTGTGTGTGTGTGTGTGAACCCAACTCAGGTCATGCATGAGTTCGGTCACATGCAGCCTTTTAGCAGACTGTTCAATGCTGCTATTGTTTCCCTCTATATTTCACACACACACACACACACACACACACTCACTCCATCCCAACAAAACTACTGACACAATTTATTATATTGTTAACACTGCCTGAGAGTCTCAGTATGGAGAACAAAATTGTAGATAAGAAAACAAATTGTCAGACATCCTGCATCACGTACAACCACCGTTTCCATGGCAACGATCATTAACAAGAAACTTCTCATGTTTTAGAGACACATAATTACCGGGGTTATGACGTGGAACCTATCTGTCTGTCTGTCTCTCTGTCTGTCTGTTCATCAGACGACATTTCCAGTGCGAGTCTTCAAGCTGTTGGGGGTGGAGACTCTGATCGTGACGAACGCTGCTGGCTCATTGGCCGACGGTCTCCAGCCTGGTGACATCATGATCATCAAAGACCACGTAAACTTCCCTGGATTGGTCGGTCTGAACCCGCTGAGCGGACCCAACGACGACAAGTAACACACTGATTTATTTACCTGGTTGTGTGTTGTTGTCTTGTTTATTTGTTGAATTGTTATTGTTTGTTTTTAAATCAATTTTCTCTGTATGAACTCTTTTTCACACTGTTGCTGTTCATTGTGATCATATTGTTGCTTGTGTTAACTCAGTTGTTATAGTTACAAAGTATTGAAGTTTGTTGCTTTGTTTTACAGGTTCGGGCCTCGTTTCCCGGCCATGTCAGGTTGCTATGACAAAGGCCTGCGTTGCTTAGCAATGGAGATCGCCAAGCAGCTGGGCGTGGCCGGCCTCATGCAGGAGGGCGTGTACGCCATGGTGGGGGGGCCAAACTTTGAAACTATCGCTGAGGCCAGACTGCTGCATCGACTCGGGGTGGATGCTGTCGGTAAGACTCACCCAAATTAACCCTAATCTTAATCCTCACCTTCACCCAAGAACTTTTGGGACCCAAACACTTGATTTCCTGCATGCTGGTAAATTTTAAAGCAACAATTTGTGCCATTTCTGCCCAGTTTATGGTGAAAATGTCATGTTACTTCCTGCTTTGACCGTTCATAGTTTAGGCAATGTTGCATCTCTGAGTCATGTTCTAGCAGTTCGTCAAATAATAATAGTCCTCTGCTACTTTTATGTCTTTACTGGACAAAAACATGAACCTAATCCTCTGTAAAAGTACACAAGTATTAGCATTAGCATAGCAAATATACTTAAAGTACCAAAAGTATTTACAACCTCAATTCTAAAAAAGTTGGGGCGCTGTGTAAAGCGTAAATAAAAAAAAAATGCAATGATTTGTAAATCCTTTTTGACCTATATTCAGTTGAATACTGTCCAAAGACACAATATTTGATATTCAAACTAAATAACTTTATTGTTTTTTTTGTAAATATACACTTAGTCTTGAGTTTGATGCCTGCAAGACGCTCCAAAAAAGTTGGGACAGGGGTAGTCTTGCTCACCAGACCTTTCTCAAGAAAAGAAAGGTCTGGCTGGGCCGACTCTCACTTTAAGACTGGAGAAAAAAATGCCCCGGCTGCTTGTATTTCTTTCAACCAATCACAATCGTTCTTGGCGGTGCCACAGCAATGGTGCGCTTGCAAAAATATTGCCGGGGGGAAACAGGTTTTGCTGGTTTATCCACTGTCTTTGGTGTAACACGCCCACAAAAATATCGCCTACAGGACGCAAACCATGGTAGGAAAATGGCTACATCCCCGCAAGATCAAACACCGCAAAAGTTAGTAAAGGACGTGTTGAAAACTGCTACACAACTGGAGGTGGTAGGGCGGGACTTCAGCGGGTGGCTCGTTCCGCCCAATGAGAGGCTGATCTTTGCAGAACTTCCACCCACTCAGACTAGGACAGGGGCAACAAAAGACTTGGAAGGTTGTTGAATGTTCAAAAAACACCTGTGTGGAACATTCCTAAGGGAAACAGGTTAACTGGTTAACTTAATGGGTAAGGGGCATCCTCGAAAGGCTCAGTTGTTCACAAGCATGTAAGTAAAACTGTGTGGGCAAACAGTTGCAAGAAATTTCACCATTTACTATTCAAGATTCAGCGCATCCTGCATGTAAGGAACAAGGCTAAAAACCAACATTGAATGCCCGTAACCTTTGACCCCTCAAGCTGCTCTGTATTAAAAACCGACACGACTGTATAAAGGATATTACAACATGGGTGTGTGGGGGTGTGTACACGCCCATGGCATCATGGGTAACTTGCACATCTCTAAAGGCACCATTAATTCTGAAAGGTACATAAAGGTTTTGGAGCAACATATGCTGCCATCCAGATGACGTCTTTTCATGGACGTCCTTTGTTATTCCAGCAAGACAATGAGACACATACTGCATGTTACAACAGTGTTGCTTCAGATTAATGAGTGCAGTACTAGACTGGCATACCTGCAGTCTCGCAATGAAAATATGTGGAGCATTATGAAGCGCAAAATATGACAACAGAGACACAGGTCTGTTGAGCAACTTAAGTCGTATATCGAGCAAGAATAAAGCAAGAATTTCACTTTCAAAATTTCAATTAGCGTCCTCAGTCCCCAGACGCTCACTGTTGTGGCCTGTCTGAGTAACTCCAGGTGTTGTGTGTCTACAGGTATGAGTACGGCTCCTGAGGTCGTTGTGGCGACTCACTGCGGTCTGAGAGTCTTTGGCCTCTCTCTGATCACCAACAAGGTAAACACACTGATCAATACATCAGTGTATTGATGGATTGTGACTGACAATGAAGCTGCAGGACACAAAGTGACAAATCAACTGGATTAATAAGATAAACTGAATCTTCAGGGGTCAGCTGAGCTGAATGATTGACTGACAAATGAATCAATTAATTGCTTGATAAATCAGCATACTGATTAAGTAACTGATATACTGATTTAACTGACTGGTTCATAGACTCGCTGCTTAGACTTATTAATTCATTGATTGACTGATTTATGTATTGTTTATTTGATTGTTTATTTGACTGATTGATCTGTGTCAGGTGGTGAAGAGTTACGAGGACACGGACAGTGTGAACCATGAAGGCGTCCTGGAGGTCGGTCGGCTGCGCTCTCAAACCGTGCAGCAGCTGGTGACCGAACTGATCAGCAGGATGGAAATCAATAACAACAACAACAATGCTGTCTGAACACACGTACACTCAAACACACACTGTCTATATACTTGATCGTTGTATTTATCTGCAACATTTTTATCATCCTTAAAACATATTTTTTACTTATATAATGAAAAAACTTTATTTATATCAACATGGTGCCTAATAATAATAATAATTCTCTATCAGGGTGCTTTTAAGTTTTCATTTATGACACAGATTAATATAACGCTGATCACTGCGTCAGATGGTGCTTTTATATAAAAATATATGAGACAAAGATTCTTCTCTTGTACATTTTATTTTGTAAAAACCTCCAGTGACTTCCTGATGTACTTTAATCTGATTAAAACATGCTGACCAATCATCTGTTTCCTGTTTATGTCAATCGTGATAGACGATGTTATTGACGCTGGTCTGCTGCAGAGTTCTCGTTATTCATTGTAAAACAATGACGGAGATCTACTTCTGATCAGTGTGTCAAACGTCTCTTTGTTGGCCCTCACTGTGTACCTGTCAGCCTGGGTGTGCATGAGAGCGTGTGGGCTCACTGGCCAATCAAACCAATAACAAACTTGTGCTGCCTTCAAAGACACGCTGTAGCATACTCCTGGATAAATTGCTTTGAGCGTCACACACGCTGCAAAAAAGCTGATAAGAGTATCTGAATTTGATCGGTTTGGTCAGATAACATTTGAAAAGTTTACAAGAGCCGCACAATAAAATAATTGTATCCACATTCAAGTTAGCATAAGGCCTAACCAGAAGGCAAATTAATTGGTGGAAGTCTCTTGCCCACATGCCCACTTGATGAAAGATAATAAAAGAAGTAACAGTAGCTATTTTTAAGAGTTATTTACCTTAAAACATGACACAAAGTACGGTAAACATTTTCATTTTTTGTGTAGGTTAGGATGGAATCGGTTACTGAGGTAACCAAGTTAAACACACACACACACAGCAGGAGCGGGATTAAGAAAACAGTCCTGCGTAGGACCAGTCCAGTGTATCCTTTGCTCACAGAGATAAGAAAGGAAGAATTGAAGCACCTTTTCTTAGCATGTAGAGAATTCGAACAGCTCTTATCATGACTGCTATTCGGGTCGTTTCACTGAGTCAGAAACCTCCCAAAGCAAAAAATACTATTCGACTGCAGCCTTGAAGCCAGCGCCGAGGTGTGTTCAGCTGTAGTTCCTCTAATGGCCACTGGATGGTGCTGTGATAAAACTCTGACTGTGCTAGCTTCTCATCCATGAGTAGATGCACACTTCCTTCTGCGGGTTGGTGGGTGTAGATTGGTAGAAAGAAAATAGTTCCTTCATCAAACTGCTCACAACAATATCTTGAATATCCGGGTCATGATTTCTGTAAAGAGACATTGTGGTTGAGCGCCACAAGTTCAGAGCGCCATCTAGTTCCATTACGCCATGTCCTAACTGGATATGACACAAGAATCCATCAGCAACTAAATCAGACAGATTGCTTTATTTTCAATTAGACTGTCCTAACTGCCCGTGAGCGACGCAATAAGATGGGATGCAGCGCACCGTTTTAGGCGAAACTTTTGTTGGACGCCCCATTTCTATTTTATTTCTGTTTTTTATATATAAAGCACTACAATGGATGAGGACGTCTGATATCTCCAACACTCAACTACTTACACTACAACAATCTAGACTGATAAAAAGGTAAGAGGAAAAATATGTACTTTTGATTTCAGGGTGAAGTGTCCCTTTAAATCTACACTACTGGGACCAGAATCAGCTGATAGCAGAAGCGGTGACTGTATAGTTAAGTTAAAGGTTTGGATTTACTCTGTGAAGTCTCTCTTTAAAATTTTCTTCTTGATGATGTCAGAACAGAAAGGCTTTCTGTCTGAAACAGAGACAGAATATTCCATTAGTTTAAACAATGATCAGCTCAGTGCAGTTTATATTCGCCTCTGATTGGTTCAGGAAATTCAAAACAAACAGAATGTTTTCTTTCAACTTGCTCATAGTGGCAGATGGTTTAACCTCTCTGGTCATGTCTAACAGCAAACTGATTCCCTACAAACTGCAGGATCCCAACAGAAGAGGCCGGTAAGTTAAACACACAAATCAATATGTATGAAGAACAATTTTTTATAATGACTGTTAGTTGCACACATACCTCTGCCTTTATGTTACACCAGAATACTAGTGTGAAGTCATGCTAGTGTCCTGCAGAGGCTGCAGTGTTTGTTACAGCCACAATATAAACAAAACTCAACATCCTTATGATTTATCAGTTTGTCCCGAGGGTGGCATTAAAGGAAATGTCATGGGGTTATGGGGTTTGAAAAGTCTTTAAGAAGTGATTCGAGTGATCAAAAAAAAAAAAAAAAAAAAATTCCTGGAAATAGCATTTTTGTGTCAAGAACAGTGTTAATCTTTTGAGAAGATACTCTTCTCACCTCAAGGTCCTTGTAGTAGTTTCTTTTTATATCACATGATCTTCATCACCAGATGCAGTTTCTCAGTTGTTCTGGTTTCATAGAAGCTCAGATACACAGTTTTCCCTGAGCATTTTGAGGAGGTCTTATCTACAGTGGCTTGGAAGTTAAAGTTTAAAACTTCATTTTCTTAGGAAGACTTCATGATACAGTAAAAGGCTCCAGGGGCACCTACAGGGCTTTTCTTGAAGCTAAGCTGGGCCTAACTTGGCGTTTTAAGTCCAACCTCACAGTTAAGCCACTGTCCAGGCTTGAACTGTCTTCTTGGTTAGACTGGGCGTAAATCTCGCCTTTGGTCAGGAGCAGGTATATTGTCAAATTTAGCTGTTTCTGTGTATTACCAGTTATACACAACACAAGAGCCACAAACTTTTAACAAAAACCCACGTTAGCATTCCTGCTAAAGTCTCCTTGTTATCTAGCTAAATTAGAAACATGACCACACATTGTGTCCTTTTCCTCAGCTTGTTGAACGAGTGATCAAACAAATGCTCACCGGTGAAGAGTGCACTGCCAATGTCATCTATCAAGCTAGTTAGCTAGCTAACTAATTAGCTGGTCAGATGCAGCATTAAGCAGGCGCATATAAATTTACCTGCAAATGTCACCTCAGTTCGTTCAGATGCGAAACACACAAAAAATCAAACCTGTTCCTAACACTTCAATGACAGACGAATGTTTCTGAGTCAGTGTGTAAACATGCTTGACACAATTTGAGTTTGTATTTAATTTGAAACGTGCAACAATTTCAGGCGAAAAATACAGTACTTTGTGTGCAAAGGAGCTTTAATGTACCTTTTTCCCCAGTGTGTAGTATTGAGGAGCAGAACCCTTCCCCGCCCCCTGTGGTGTGACTATGACCTCTGAACTCTTCATCGTATCCCTGGTGGTTCTGCTGCTGGTTCTGATGGTTCTACTGATTCTCTGCTGGATCCTCAGACACAACAGAAGCAGGTAAGAACCCACAGCTGCCTCATACACACATCAGCCACTGAAATCTGCTTGAAAGAGTCTTCGCGGGGTGTCCAGTCACTCAGTGGATAGTGTGGGCCTTGCTGCATGTCATCTCCCCCTTTCATGCTTGACCTGTCCTGTCCCATAAAGCCAAAAGTCTTAAAAAAGATTCTTCAACATTAATTCAAAGTTATTTTTTCAATACTCACATTTGAATTCTGAGTGTGGATATTTAATTTGAGTGATGTTCCTGTTCGGCCTGTTCCAAATGAGTCGTGTACAGTCTGCAACCTCTGAGCTCATGTGTAATGTCGTGCAGGTTTGCGATTGCCCTAAAACAACATCAGGTTCTGGTGTTCTTTGATGTTCTGGTTCAGACTTTTGAACCGTCTCCGTTGTTTCTGATTCCTCAGGAACTTCGCTGAGCTGCAGATCTCAGCAGGACAACCAGCTCGCATCCTGACCATCAGAACCAAACCAGACCACGCCCTACAGCTGCTGGATCAACTGCTGGAACGAGTCTTTCTCCAAGTGGAACCCGGGCCAGTATCAGAAGAGGAACTTGGAGAAGAACCCATGGCAGAACCTGTGGAGGAACCAGGGGGAGAATATAGATCAGATTCTGACCCAGACTCAGAGGTTTCAGCATCTTCTCTTCCCAGGAAAGGTGTGTTAAACCAAACCCTCTCAGGACAGTCCAAAAATATTAGCAAACATTAAGAGTACTACAACTTAAATGTGTGATGTCACAGGGTGTAAGGTCTGGAGCTGCTCCACAGACAATGAATTAGTAAAGTGGTTCTAGATGATACTGAGAGCACCCTGAGTATTACGGTACATTTTCTGTTCCTCCTGAGTTTTAAGTCATTTTTCTCATTCTCTAGTCCCTGAAACATGGGTTCAGTCAGCAGCAGCTCCACCTGCTGGCGCTGAGATGAACTACAGCTGTTACTGAAACTGAACCTTTGTATTTGGAGCTCTGACAAAACTGTGAAAGTCTGAATTATTAATGTTTAAAGTAACTGACTGAAACTTGATGTAGGTGTGTTTCTCTCCTGCAGCAGTGAATGTCCTTCAGAACAAACTGTGGAAATGGATCTCTGTTACAGTTCCTCCTGCAGGTGAGAAAATGAGTGTGTGGATCAAAACTCACATTTCTATTTACATAAATAAATACTGTTTTTAGATTTTTTTTATTTATTTATTTATTATTTTATTATTTATTATTTATTATTTATTTTAACTTTTGTATGCATTTACCTCACAGGATTTCCACTGCTATGATTAGAATATTTCTTATTTCTGTAATATCTTTATTTATTTTGGTGAAACTTAATCATGTCTTGCGAATCAATGATTATTTCCTGCACTCCAGCCACTTCTCCTCCTTCTCCTGTCGGTCAGGATCAAACTGATGACCTCTGCCCTCAGCAGTCAGATGCATCCCAGCATGCCCCTCTCTCCTCTCAGGGTGCTTCCTGCAGTGCATCCTGGGAGGAGGAGCAACATAATGAGTCACAACTTTAGAGAGAAATAAAGGAATTGAATTTAGGATAAAGGCCTTTTATTTATATGAGTAACATTTAACAACACACTCACTGACTTCTGAAAGATGAAACTGTCAAATAAAACTCATTATGTTGATATAAATACTGAAAAATACTGTGTTTATATGAATTTTATCTTATGTTGTTCTCAGGTCATGAAGACTCAATTTATTCTGAAAGACACAATCAGTCATTTCACTAACAGGATGTGTCCATATATATAACTGAAGAGTCTGACTGACAGCAGATGGCAAACCAAATATCATTTTAGTGAAAGATGGCAGGACGGTAAAATTAGATGAGGCCGGCAGAGACTATTTGCCACTCAGAGTTAAAATATTTCAACTTTTTACCATCCTTAGCAGCAGAATTTACACCTGGATGTTACCTAGA